GGGATGCGGGCGGCGGGCTGGGGGGGGGGGGGGGGGCTATCCGGCAGTCGTCGGCGCTTGTACGCGCGCGTGTGCTTCTAGCCCCCCGATGGAAACCCACCCGTACGACACATCTGCGGCAGGCCCCCCCCCTGCAAGAGCGGATCCGATGACAGAACGCCCCCCCCCGTCTCGCGCGCGCGCCCTCTTTCTTCGGGCAAGATGGCGGGGCGTCCTGTGCCCTTGGTTGCCCCCTGCCGCCCCGTCTCCCCACTTCCTGATGGGCCAGATCGCGTTTCTGATCCCCCCCCCTCTCCCGGGTTCTTGGTGAGCCTCTTCGGCTGGCGGTCAGATCACCGCGTCTGGGGGTCTCCCCAGGTAGAGGACACCCTCCGACCTTCCCTCTGGCAATCTCCTCCTCCGCCCTCTCCCCACCATCCTCGATTGCCTCTTCTCCCACTGCCCCCCCCCCCCTGCCCCTTCCCTCTCCCCTCCTGCCTGCCTGCCTGCCTGCCTGCCGCCTTGCGTCGGCTTTGAGGCCGCCATGGATCGCACCTCCTACTCGCCGGTGCTCGCTCCTCTTCTACACAATCCCCACCACCCCCACCATAGTCCGGGGGGCCTTGATCGTTTCCCGACCGCGCTTGACTTCTTCCCTCGGGGCTTCGCGCCGATTGGCCCCGCCCTCGCCGTGGGCTCGCCGCTGCCTTCGGCGCCCTTCGCCTCGCATGTGGCGTCCGGGCCCGGGGGGTCGGGGCCCGCCCTGCCGGATGCCGGCGCGTCTCGCAAGCGTCCCCGGTCCGAGGATGAGCAGGTCACCGACCCGATGGCCGACAGCCAGGGGGCGGGGATACCCTACATTGCGGCTGGCGCATGCCATCCGGCTCAGCGGCCCCGCCTGGAAATCCCCCCCCACCATCATCATCAGCAGCAGCAACAACAACAACATCAACATCAACATCAACATCATCAACATCATCATCATGCCCACCAACCGCATGAGTCTGCCCGCCAGCCTCCCCACCACCACCAGCAGCAGCAGCAGCAGCAGCAGCAGCAGCATGCCCACCACCCGCATGAGTCTGCCCGCCAGCCTCCCCACCAGTCATTCCAGCAGCCCATGTCTTCCCCGCACCAGCCGCACCAGCAGCATCACTCCGCCTCCTCCTCCGGCGCCTCCTCTCCCTGCCATCACTACTATGGAATGCCGGCACCCGGACAGCAGCACGATCCCGGGCCGGCTGTTGGGCACATCGCCAGTCCCTCCGGGCCTCGATCGATCATCTTCTCCAGGCCAGCGCCGGGAGATGGGGCCGGAGACCTGACTCCGCAGCCGGGTTATGTGCCACCTCCGCAGGCGTACCAGCCTCACCGGCACCAGCCTCACCGACACCAGCCTCACGGGGCGCACCAGGCCCAAGGGATGCCTCCACCCCCGACATCGATCTCGTCCTCGGTGGATCTCACCTCGCCGTATGCCGAAATCAACATGCTTCTCCGGCATTCGCACTTGTCATCGGTCAGTCGCCGGGCTGATGGCACTTCATCACCGTGAGCAAGGCCACGGGAGGTGCCTGGTCGACTGAAAATACACCCCCCCCCCCGTGCGTTTTGTATCTGCCCTTTTGCAAGGAAAAAAGAAGAAGAGGAAGGAGAAACCCAGGCCGCCCGGCTCCCCCCGCCCCCCGAGCAAGAGGTGTTCTCAGTTGGTATATTGAAAAGGAGGAGGAGCTGAGCTGATCATTGGCCACCGGTCTCCTGGTTGATGGCATTGTTGGCGGCAGTCAGCTGGTGGAAGAGCCGCTCCAGGTCCTGGCTGATGGCCGAGATGGAGTTCGGGCAGGCGGTCTCCAGGCTCCGGGCCTTGCTGGCGATGGCCCGAGCGATGCTCAGCTTGGCCGCGCGCAGGAGAGCCAAGGTGTCGGCATCCGAGGAGGGGGCCGTGGCGGGAGCAGGCGCCGCGACAGAGGCGGGAGTGGGAGCAGCAGCAGGGGCAGCCGCAGCAGGGGCAGCCGCAGCAGGAGCAGCCGCAGCAGGAGCAGCCGCAGCAGGAGCAGCCGCAGCAGGAGCAGCCGCAGCAGGGACGGGAGCGGCCGCGCCGGGCGGGGCGGTGTGCATGACTGGGCCAACCACCTCGAGAGCATCGTTCTGGTGCACGAACACGGTCAAGCACTTGACGCAGTGCATCTCCTTTGAGGAGCGCAGCGACATCAGCGGGACGGTGTGGCAGTTGGGACAGTGCTCACCGAGCATGGTCCAACCGGCCAGGAGCTTCTTTCCAAGAAGGGCAGAGATGTCGGCTATCGTCGGGCGGGCAAAGAGGGAAGGAGCCAATTCATGGGGTTGGTAAGGGCCGGGACATGTGGGGGAGCATGGCGAGCAGGGGATACGCACAGGAGGACATTGTGGAGGAGGGGAAGATGGCCGGGGGGGGATAGGCCGAGGGAGTGGCGGAGAGGGGGCAGAGCGCGGGGACTAGGGGGTGTGACGGTGGCGGAGAGATCTTGGTTGCACCGGTCCGCCAGACACTCCCATCTTGCAGGGGGTGCTCAAGGGATGGAGATTGGCCCGGCCTGGCTCCGGGCCGCCCGCACCCCGGCAGGCTCCGAAGCCCGCCGGGTGGCCTGCGCGCGGCATCCGGGCCATCTGCCAACGCTCGGCGGGAAGAATGCGCCTCCGCCGGATCGGCCCCCGGGAAACAGGGCCCCGCCCCGGGCTCCTGGCCGGCCGGAAGGCCCCTCCGACGGGCGAGAAGGCGCAAAGGGGCCGCCGGCTCGGGGCATTTTGTCCCTCCCCCGTGCGTGTGTGTGCTCTGTGTGTGTGTGTGTGTGTGCGTGTCCTGGCGGGCCTGGGGGACCGTCGTGCCAGGGAGCGGGGGCGAGGGCGTGCCGGGATGGCATCGGCTGGCGGCTAGTCACCCTGGACTTGGTTCTCGGTCGTCCTCCTGCGGCCCCGGAGCGCGGGCGCCCGAGAAGTGCTGCTGCTGCTGCTGTTACCGCTGCTGCTGCTGTTACCGCTGCTGCTGCTACTGCTGCTGCTGCTGCTGCTGTTGCTGCTGTTGCTGTTGCTGCTGTTGCTGCTGCCAGTGCCCAAGAGCATGCGGGTTTCCCGCGACCTGGCCTTTCTCGGAACCAACAACCCCCAGGCACCCTGCTTCCCCTTCTCTTGTGCAAGCCCTCGCATCTGATTTGTCGCCTCTTTCTCTTGCACCCTCCCCCCTCCCGCCGGGCAAACCCCTTCGCATTTTGCGTGCACACCTGGGCACATGTCGGCCCCGTCCCTGTCGTCGGCGGGCCGGGCCTCGCCCCATCATCCGGGCCGGGCGATGTCAATTGCCTCGGGATCGGTCCACTCGTTGTCCGACGATTCGGAGGCCCCGTCGGAGGAGGATCGTGCCGTGTCCCGGCCAAGCCGCGGCCCCGGGGCCATCGCCCTCAATGAGGAGCATCTGACGGATGGTTCGTTGGCTTGGGGCAGCCCTGTGGCGCCCTCTTCTCCCCCTCGCCGGTTGCCTGTCCTGCCGTTCTCTCTCCTCCCCACCTGCCCCGCTGCCATGGGGGGTTTCGCCTTACTGACCACGATGGGGCATGGTAGTCATGCGCTTTTTCGGCCTGCTCAACCCCCGGCCGCAGTGCTGGGCCGAGACGTCGCAGTCGGCGGCCAAGGCCCACACCAATGGCCTGGATCCCCTCGGCGGAGGGGAGTATGGCGAGGACCATGGGTCGGATGAGTCGGACTCCGACAGCGAAGTCGAAGCCCTGGACCGGGAGGAGTTCCTCCCCCTCGGGACAGTGAGCATGGGGGCTTGTCTGGAGTGCGATCGGCGGCGGCCCCTGCTGCAAGATGCCCTGTGCCAGGGGTGTCACCTGCGTGAGCAGGGCCATAGCCGGTCCTCCAGCACCCCCGGCCGGGCGATTGACGATGAGTTTGACACGGCCGACGATGTGCTGATCGAGTTGGAGGATGATGAGCTGGCGGCGGCGGTGGCGTCGGCGGCGGCCGAGGCAGCCTCGGCTCGGCCGTCTGCCCGCCGGCGCTTTGGCCTCGGGCTGAAGCTGCTGCCGGTTCGCGGGTACCGCCGTGCCGCCATGGCCACCATGTCCCTGGGGAATGCCATCAGCGCGGCCAGTGGTCTGACCGGAGGCCGCCACCGGCGGCAGCTGGCCATCGAGCAGCCCGACAGTTCGCAGCCGGTGCCGACGCTGGCCGCCGATGCGGAAGACATCTCGGAAATTGACATCCTCGGTATTGCCAGGTTCGTGGGCGTCCGGCGGCCGTGGGGGCGGCTATTGGTCCCTTTGTTCCTGCTCCTCTAACCCTGCGGATCCGCCCTCGCCCACCGGCGAGCTGTGTGTGTGTGTGTGTGTGTGTGTGTGTGTGTGTGTGTGTGTGTGTGTGTGTGTGTGTGTGCACCTCGGTACCTTTCCCAGCGAAACCTGCCGACGGGCCCACCTGTCCGTGGCCACGGATCCCGGTACGTCTGGCCAGCTGACGACGCCGCCGCCAGGCCATCTGACCCCGCACTCACCGTCTGCCTCTCCCTCCGGCCGGAAACACAGCCTACTCCTTTTACTCGCCGTCCTTCGATCCCGAGCTCTTCTTGGCCCTGCTTTACCACGACCAGTCGGATGTCGCCCTCTTTTCCACCCTCAAGTCCCTGGAAAACCGCATGATGCTGCGCACCAATGACCTGGCCAACCAGGTTCGCTCGCACATCGATCACTTCATGTCGGCCAAGCGCACGGTCGATCGCATCTCCAGCAATTTGAAGCTCTCGGACCAGGACGAGCATGCCGGCGGGGCGGATGGCTCTGGGTCCCGGCGTGATGCGCCCGGCGTGCGCGAGCTGGTCGATGCGCTGAGTGGTATGGTCCTTCTCCCCCGCCCCTCTCTCTCCCTCCCTCCCTCTCCCTCTCTCTCTCTCTCTCCCTCTGTCTCCCCTGCCCCTCTTGCTCTTTTGCTCCTGCTCCTCCCGCATGCATTTCTGTGGCTCGCATGCCCTTTTTCCTCCGATTCTCATT